TGGAATCAATTGCACAACAAAAAACTTTATTTTCTAAGAATTATTGTGTATTGTTGATCATGAGTTAAGAAAATATTTAGATATGATCATGGACACTATTTTCCACAAAGGATACATAATAATTATTAATGTGTTAAGTTTAACATAAAATAGTGTTTATAATAATATAGATTTACTGTTGAGATTAGTACTGTATCGTTGTAACTTAGCCAATGTATTAAGCCGCCTTGCTTAGCCAAACCATCTGTTCTGTATATAATTATGGGTATTTTGTGGCTTGAGTTGTCAAATCAGTCGCCAGTCAGTCTCTCTGCACAGTGTTACACAACATGGATAATCATGAAAATCATAGTGAACATTATTGGAGGCTTGCCATATTGTCGCAGCCTAATCACCTTCAAAAAGGGCCTGGCAGGGGGCTAATCACACGTTTATCCCAGATATGTCCAAATAATGGGCTTCGGTTAGGAAACAATCCAAAAGGACTTTGTGGAATGGTCTGTACTCTGTAATTGTCGGATGAGTTATAGGTTGTTGTTACACTTGTAACGACTGCCTTGTGTGTGAATTTGGCAAGCAGGTCGTTCTCAGACCCTTTGATAAATCACATCTTGTAGGAACTGTCTGGATTTCTCAAGCTGTCTTGAAACAAAAAAGGTGACTTTTTGAACTTCCTACAAAATGGATTATAAATGAATTCAGTAGGACTGTTCTCCTAATACAAATGTACTTATACATGTACTTGTAAAATTATTAACGTTCAGATAAAAAAAATATTCGACATCAATATCAGGATGTAGGATCACACAATGCATCTTTTACCCAACATGATTTTTACTCAGTATAGAGTATTACTGTGCATGTGCAAGTGTGGACAGTAGAGTAAAGAAAACACACAAGTCTGTGACCTGGAAAATTCTCTGCAACTTTGTTCAACAGCTCCCCCTTTGACTATTGTTGGTATTGCATAAAAGTATTGCCCCGGGGATGCAAGGAATTGTGAGTGTTGATTTATGTTGATTCCTGCTAAATATTGGGATCAGTGATGGTAACACCAACTGAGAACAACGTTTGGTTGTGAAAGAATCTCTTTCTCTACACTCTTCAGTTTCAGCTATCAAATCCATCCTTCTTTGCCATGCAAATTGACTCTTGTGTATCATTTAGGTAACCACTGAAATTCTTTTATATCAAACAATGATGTACATGTGTATAGAATGGTGATACAATTAATTGTTTCAGATGAGGACGAGTGTGCAGTGAATAACGGGGGCTGTGTACACGAGTGTACCAACACGCAAGGGAACTACCGCTGTGACTGCTACGATGGATTCATGTTGCACGACGATGGACACAACTGTATCGGTCAGTGGGACATTTCATGAGAAGATGACCCTTTTTATACAGAAGAGACACAGTACCAGTACTGAGAAAGCTTACTGTAACTTTGCTTTAAAGTAAGGATTAGGTATTTAAATCTACTGAGCTGTACATACGTGTAGGTTCCCACTTCCAGGAGAACCACATCTTGAGCATGTTAAACTTAAAGAACCTGCAACACTTCTCAGAAAGAGTAGAAGTACACTCAGCCATGTGGTGGTTCTGACCAATTAGTCTATAATTGAACAATGTATTGATCAACTCTACCTCAGGCATAAAAATGTGTCTGACGCAGAGTTAGAGGTAAGAAATGTTGTTACTGCTGGCAGGTAATTCGACACAAAATGTACAATGTCCACACACAACAGGGTTTTGTGGAGAACCCAAGCAGGCTATTTAGCTGACCCAATAGTCACTCAAGGAAAGCAAATGAGTCCCAGGCCCCCAGTCTCCTATTTTCCACATTCTGCATGCTGTCAACACCTTTCAGCCCTACCCTTTCTATGCAGCATAGTCTGGAGCCCAGGAGAACTGGAGGGAAGGGTTGTATTGCTGGAGAGGTCCCAAGTTCTCACAGTTGTATGTTGGCTGCTTGCCTTCAGAGGCAGATGGCTTGTCAATCATACTCAGTAAGCACTTCTCGAGTATTCTTTTCCTCCAATTAACTTCTGTATTTAGACATGTTCAAGTCCAGCATTCCAGAATGAACAATGTCAGATTCCGTACATTTTAGTCGAGCAGGACAATACACATGTACAAGGTTTGTGTGTCAGCTTTCGTTTGCTTTGACGTCTCCATCTTCAACACCTGAAGCAAGGTTGAACTGTGATTTCCAACACAAATGTTGGACTTACTCTGTCAAATGTTTGATAGGGTAAGTCAATTTTGTTGGAAATTATGATTCAACCTTTCCCTTTCAGGGAGACAATTGCAATAGTGTACTACTTCCTAAAATACTGAATTCTAATTAAGACTATTAAAAGCAGTGTGAACCAGGTCCTTTTGACATTTAATACCACGTACAAAAGGGATAGAAACACCAAAATTCGATGAAGGATGTTGAAAAATTTGTCTCCGCTTCACTTAAAGAGCAAGGAACTGCTGCCTGTCTGTTCAAGTGTCTGAAGTGGTTACGTACAGGGGTGGAGCTGTAAGTATCAGCCCGACGCTTGCTAAGAAGTTCCGTCACCACCTCTAATGCCGCTCCTTCCCAAGAATTCAGCATATCCCTCAAGAAGTCTTTAATTGGCTGGAAAGTGAGGAGTGAGGAAGCCAAGATCTGGCATTCTTCCCTTCACCCAGGGCGACATCTTCACTGGGTGACACTTCAACCTGTCTTAAAGCAATCTGAAGTATTTTCAAAATTTGTGAATCACAGATATGGTTCAATGTCATATTTTTAAACCAGCTATACATATGTGAAGATTTTCTGCAGATGGCTTAGACTCGTACATGTACATTGTATACATGCCACACAGTTTAAAAGTCTATCAGTGAATATCCCGATAGGTTTGAAACATGTGCAGATGTCAGAAGCTGGAGGTTTGATTGTGAAAGATTATGGCAAACTACTTAGTTTTACTAATCTCTTGCAGCCAACTTTGATTGTGTTTTACTAAGTTCTTTTAACCTAAACCAGTTATTCTTGCCCTAGTTTTACGACATCGTATTAATGCTACAGTAATCTGGTTTATCCATGGAGATTGGCTAGCCTTAATACAGTATCAAGTGGCTGTATAAACCCAAGGTCAGCTTTATTACTGTGACCTTGCAGCAAGTGAATCTCACATTCCTGGTGCAAAGAGCCTTAAGTGTGACCTGATTCACTAAGGTGCGGAATTCACAGGTTCTATGTGAAATCTTAATTTGACCCAAGCTGAGGAGTGACATTACCAAGCAGACACAGTGGTTGCTAATTGCAGGATTAAGTTACCCTCCAAAAAAATGTAGACATGGAAAATATCCACAACATTCATAGACGATCTGTGCCTTTCTGAAATTCAGCTCTTTTTATGCATAATGTATAACTACTATAATGGTGCATTACTGTCACTTTTGTGTCATCACACAAGTTTGTAGTATAGAGACTAGTCTGGATTTTTGCTTTGGTGGTTGATCATTGGAAAAGTTTATAGGCTAAAGGCTGAATGGACAAAGCCAGGTATGTAGAATAAAATCACCACTGCACTCATCATTTACAGCATGTCTTACCAAAAATTGTATCAAATGTAGGTCAGTTCAGCCACCCAATACTCTAATTAGAACTGCATTTTTTCAACCTTTTCCTAAAAGTTGATGTCCTTGCTTTGTTGTAGAACAGCAATGTATACCATTTGTATACACACTTTTCCAAAGCAGGTACTTCAGCTGGTCACCTTGATCAGGTGTTAAAGTGGTCATCTTCATGAAGCAAACTGTAAGAATTAGTAAAATAATGATGTAACATTGTTAGGTTATACCATGCCAGATGAAATACAGAAATTCTGAATTTTCTATTCAATTTCATTTTCAAAAGAATCTTAAGAATCCCACTTGGACTAAGTGCTATGGCCAAGCTCCGGATGCAATAAAGAAGCTTGTTCGGATTTAAGAAGACTCTGGTTTCTCCTGAAAACTCTTGTAGGGCCTTTAACTGGTCCCAGTCTAAACAGGGTCTCAGTGGATTGTCCTCCCTGGATCCTTTTCCTACGACCTGCGGAAACCACATACGCATGACAGCCTTTTTACATGCTTGGAATATCTCAGATGTTGCCTTCGATTAGGGGCTTAACTAAAAAGGTCCAGAATTGGGTGTTAATTTGTTTTCAGTGGTCTTTAACCACCGTTGTGTGCAACCCTTCCCAGGTCTTCCTGCGGAGTAATTGATGAGGTGGGGACTGAAAGTATCAAGATAAATCTCCGTCTGAGCCCTTCAAGACACTTTGTTTACAGCTTTGGCAGGAGTCTTTATTCCTTAAGTAGTCTAGACTAACCAAGCTATCACTGGTTAATGAGAGAATCTTTTTCCTACTTTGAACATGAATTGAAAGTACTCAAGAATCTTAGTTGAACAAATATGGGGGACTGAGTGCAGTTTTGAATTGCCGCATGTTTATTTGAACTTATAAGAGGTTCTAGAAAAAAGAAAAAAAAAGGAAGGTCAATTTCAGGAAGGAAAAAGTACTTAGCGATCAGGCCGTAGCTGGTAGTATGTTAGTAGTTGAATTTTTGAAAGACTGATCGTTAGGAGCAGACGGGGCAAAATAACTTATGTCTTAGTCAATACACTGACCAGTTACTGACAATAAAACTTTTATTGCCCAGTATCAGGTGCTACCACAATACTAGAGTACACATCTAGTAGACACTGCTAGATATCATCAGACAATGATATCTTCATCCTTATGATTATACTATTACACTGTAACTTTCTGTCTCTGGTCAACATACAAAAGAAACAGTGAGGTAGGCCAGATAAAGCCTACTTGTCAGGATAATTGTGTTCAGGCCTTGGTAAGTATTCGGAACATTTTAAGTGGATTTCCCACATTTCTGATGGATAGAACACTCTGCCTGTTTAATGAAAAGAAGCCCCTTTTCCTGGGAATTTGTACTCTGTTGCCCTGTAGGAAATGTAAGCTACACATGAATGATTTGCAAAAATGGTCTACCAGTCCATATACAATACATGTGGAATACATGTATTGCGCGTGCAATAGGGTACATAAACACAGTCACCTAAAACTACACATTGCCCGTTGAACGACCAAGATTTGAAAAAATGGTCTAACAGTCCATATACAATACATGTGGAATACATGTATTGCACGTGCAATAGGGTACATAAACACAGTTACCTATAACTATGATAAGTGTAATACATATGTGCAACAGTTTCAGAAAGACCTATGGTGCTTGGGTATGGAGGACAGAAAAAAATGCATTCCCATCTGTCTAATCAACCCCTTCTTTCTTGTAATATAGGACATTTGCAGAATCTGATCCATTTCAAACCTTGTCCCTGCTGCCTTAATTAATACCATAGCTGTGCATAGAGAATTGGTAGCCAATTGCAAAAGGCTACTCATAGTGCTAAAGTCAATGTGCGTTTGTCCCGTTGACCTCCATGAAAAGTGGTTGTTGAATGTTAGTTGTTCAAGGTTAAATAAAGGCACAACAACACTCTGGTCGGATGGCAATTATTCCTAGTTTACAGTTAGACAGTGTATCAGAGAAGTATTGGGATTGGGCAGCTAACATTTATTAAGTCTAGTATGAGAGGCAAAACATATTCTTAATTGGGATATTCTATCAAGGAAATGGTTTTGGCATTTTGCTATTGATATCACCTGAAAATGTATGCAACTTTCTTAGAACTCTCACAACTGACTCATCAACTGTTTTTTGCCCTTCCTGTTGTAACCCAAAGCATTTGGTCCGTGTTTCCTACAATACCTTAAGCTTTTTGGCAAAGAAGTGAGTCATGGTGAAAGCTATTGACATTCTGCTCGCACGCTCATGGCTTTCTCCCACAGCCATGGGGCTCTTGACCTGCCCTACAGATAACATCCCAGTCAATCTGTCCGCACTTGTAGGGGAAATAAACTCTGTCAGGGGCAGGAAAAATAAACACGCCATTATGCAGTGGTTTATTTTCACTTCAAGGAGAATTTGCCAACTTGACATTTTGGAAACAGTAAGTAGAACAAGCTGAGGGACGTGAGCTGGCACAAATCCAGTGTAGACAGGTCCAACGTTATGATGTAAAGCCTTCATACATACCAGGATGACTGTATGGTGTTTTTTGATGAAAAATAGAAATATCTTTTGCCGTTAGCATCCTAGCCTGGGAGCCATCTGATTTGCTACAGGTCTCTGGATGGCACCCAGGCTATTGACCTCCTAAGCCAAGGCAGTAATGCAAAAAGTGCCATCCCTCTTGAAAGGAACATTCAGACACAACCATCAAAGTGTCATGAGGGTACACTGCAGATCAAAAAAAGAACTGCACTAGCTGACAGTGGGAGGATAAAAAAAATTATTCATCCAAAATTGATTTAAGAAAGAATTATAACATTAAAAGAAAGATAGATCTTTCAAGAAATCAGTGAGATTGGACTTCCAGGAAGTATTGGGGATTTTCGTGACCTTCCAGGTCATCCCATTTTATATGTCTGACTTTTTGACCTGTTATTTTGCCTGTCAATTGTCCCCCATGCATGTCAACCTCCTCTCTCCAGATGAACACTCAGATACACCCACACCTCAGCCACCCAAACCCTCTGTACCTTGATCATGAAGTAAGTATGGTCATTACATCAAGGTAAAGCCTCCATATACAATATCATATAACTTTGTTTCCATTGATTGAACTTGCCCTGTACTGTTTTTCCCTGTCTCAGATGTGGATGAGTGTGCAGTAAACCGCGGCGGTTGTCAGCAGATCTGTCTGAACAACATGGGGAGTTATGAGTGCCTGTGTAGTGCAGACTTCGTCCTGAGCGACAACGGCCACACCTGTATCAGTAACAAAGGTAGTGGTGAGCACAAATTCTATGGTTCTGGTGCTAAGGTTCAGATAAGTGAGCTAAGTTGTTGTGCATTTTATATGTTTGTAAACTCCTCACCATGATGGTTGGTGATGTGCCATTAGCATCATGCCAATCATTTAATTGGAGTGATGGTTTGAAATTACTGGATAGACTTTACCAGAATTATGAAGTTTGTGTAAAAAAGAGGATATTCCTCAGACAGTGTACAAACTGTTTGAAGAGTAACACCCCCTTCCACCAGAGGCTTCAGCTGCTTAGTGACCATGTATTTGACAGATCCCTGAACAAATTACATAGACAACAAGTCTCTTAATGTTTTGTTGTTTTTCCAAATCATAATACTTTTGCATTGTGCATCATATTCCAATTATGAAATCAAAGGTCACACAAGTCCAATTTTAGTAGCTCAATGGTTGCTCAGTGATTGCCATCTATTGGAAAGGGGGTCCAAAAGAGATCTGGAGGATGTGGGAGGTAGAAAAATGATTGCCTTGTAGTTGTTTGACTGAAAACCCCTGAAGTTAGTAGTGTCAGCAGCAGGTGAGTAGGGCTTCTGGCTGGTGCTGTCACCAAGTGCTGATGTCCGTGTAGAAGCTGACACCGCGCAGTGTGAACCTCGTCAGTCCTGCAGCTTCATCTGGATGTTGACAAGGACTCGCACAAACACAGCCAAGTTTTGTCTATAAACCCTGCACTTTACCCCAGTAACCCATGGCCAGCCCCTGCCTGCCACTCAGTACAGCCCACAGCAAAGGATAAGTGCCATTTGCTATATGGCAAATGATTCTGATGTGTTTTGCTATGAATATTAAGTGAGAAACATGTGAAAATCAGTATTCTACATGTACAAATGTACTGGTTATTTGGACAAAATTGTTGAGTTGTTGGTTTATGGTCAAGTGAAAGGTCATTGAGAAATAATCATACAATACATTCAAATGTCACCTTTGAAACTATTATATAAAGTTGCTAAGTGTAAAGAAGAGGATAAAGGTTTTGAGATCATATAGGTTATATAGAGAAGTTTATTGCAAATTCATGCCCGGGGGGCTAATTGCAGATTACAGACATAAAAGAACAATGAAACGTAGTATAAAATAACTAAAATCTACATGATGAAAGGTAGTTGTCTAGAGCTATAGCTATGTCTAAAACTATGTCTAAGGGGTTTGACTTCTCTTTCTTAGACTATGGAAGACAAGGAGGTACAGAGTGTTGGTTTCACCACAATGAAATGAAGGTACAGGGTATTTTGAATCCTTCTGGCCATGCAGTCAGGATGTTGTGATGTTGTTCTAGGGAACTGTAAGAAGCAGGAACATGGCTGTGCCCACATCTGCCAGGAGACCAACAGGGGAACCATCTGCCAATGCAGGCCTGGCTTTGAACTAGCTCCCAACAGGAAGGACTGTATAGGTACAATGTTCTACATAATGTGTTTACGCTGCTACACTAGTACTGTATGTAGACAATTCATACAGAGTTGGCTCATTTATGGGTATGACATTGCCACATGCCCAATGAAGTGTTTATTGTTACATAATGAGCCCTTCCACCTTCATCAAAATTTCTTTTTCATTGGTTGAATCATTAATTGCCATGCTATCATTGGTTGAAGTGCTAATTGAGATAGACAGTCAGCATTGGTCTATTTTGTCTGGCCAAGCAAGTTAAAAGATGAGTTTAAAGCCCAAATTTAAAACGGTTTTAATGTACATAGCTTTTGAGGTTTGATAATGACATGTCCAGCAATTTTCCTCTTCCCTGCTGCAGTGACATGTTCCCATGGAAATGGAGGCTGTCAGCATGAGTGCCAGGATACAGACAATGGTCCCGTCTGCACCTGTCACCTCAACTATCTCCTGGCCTCTGATGGCAAGACTTGTATAGGTGAGTCTGGTAAGACACCATTCTTTATTCTCAGTGGACATTCACAGTGCATTAATACAATACATGTACCAGTGCTACCAATTGATATTGGAATATAACAGTTCCTGGAAACGTCCACCATCATGGTAAGAAATACCTGACACATCATACCAGTTGAAATTGACTTGGCACCTGTCAGCTCTGGGTTCACCTGTTGACCAGTTCTAGAAAGTGAATGCTTTTAGGGTCCTGGAGAGTTCTTTATCCCTGTGTAGAAGACCTCAGACCCAGCAGGTCCACTGTTATTCAAAAGAGCCATCTAGTGGTGAGAGCCAGAACTGTATGAGCTCAATTCTCATCCTGTGCCAAACACTGCTTCATACATGTGACATTCCCACTGATGTTTGAATATCCAGGACATGCTGCAGTCAAAATAGCTGCCAAAGAAATGATCCTCAGAAAATAAATGCATACCGACATAAAGCCCTGCTTGCACTGTCTGAAATAGGAATCCAACACCTCTGGTATGCTGCATGTGTCACCCTTCCCTGAGTTCCATACACCTGATAAAGTGGTGTAAGCAGGTCCTTAGTAACAGGAGGAATTCCAGATATCATGTCTAAACAAATCACGGCAAGTCAGTCAAGTACCATATAAGTGCAGGCCTGTATGTGCGGTGTATGGTACCAGTGAAAATGTGGAAAAGGCAGAGTGAGTTTCGTTTGAGTTCTGTGCGCCAAGTTACCTTTTCCCCAGGCGGGATGTATGTTGTGCATCTATCTGATGTCCTGCACGTGGTATGTGTGTTTAACTTTGTTGAGGATTGACACAGACAAGGCTTGAAAGGCAATATTGACACAGTGGCAGGCTGGCCCGCAGTGTTTGTTTCTCTGAGCTGTCCAACTGAGATGTAAGTCATTACAAATTCATTTTCCACCCGGGCGGAAAGGCAGCGGCACTTCAAAAGCCCCAGTCCAGGAGACGGGGCACATCCTCGGCAAACAGTGCGCTCGCAACGGTGTGCCTCCCGTCCTGAATGGTGCCGGGCTTAAGCTATTTCTGCCTTAATACAGCGGGTTTTTGGTTACAAATTGGCAGGCGGGTCTGACAGTTTATGTAGGAGAGTGGAGCGGTGCTGGGCGGCTGGTGGTGCGTGCAGACCTGTGCCGGCTGCGGGCGGTGACGGCCGCCGTTTCCAGTGAACCTGACCTGCCCCCTGCAGACTCCCCGTACAATGCATCCTTTCTAGTCCCCGGGGGGTGCCCAGCTCAGCTGATTGGCAGTTGCACGTTGTCGATATGGGTTGAGCTTTACTCGTGTTGCACTGAGGCCTGAAGACGTACTCCGCAGTGTTTGTGCTTCCTCCTAAGAACCCTTCAGGATTCAGCAGGATTACCACTTCCCTTGTGATGGATACATTCAGAAGACTGGTGCTCCTGACGTGCCTTATCTGCTTGTGTTTTTCCTGGACCAAAGCTAAAGGTAGGTTCCCCTGACTCCCCTCCTCTATAAGCATGCTGCCCATCTGGACTGCAGGATATGTGTATCCTTTTCTGTTTACTTCTCTTGTCCTGCTTGCAAATGTGTCTGCAAATATTGGGGATGTCTACCAAACTTCTTTCTTTGCCTCTTTCGACATTTTGGGGTTAAATATTTCCCGTTGATGGTGTTAAAGTATGCCATCAAAAGTTTAGCAGTGCTACCAAAGTATTAAGAGATTGACAGGAGAAGCCCACACTCTCTTCTGTATGGTACCATTTTGAGATTGGCTTAACGTGTTTACCTATGGGATTAAAGCTGTGAGAAAACAGTTTAAACAGTACTTGGGCAACTTAAGTGTGTGAAGAGAATTTTGCCTTCTTTCCCATTTGAAATTGCTGAGCCATTCAGTTGTTGGAAAGCCTTTCTTTTTTCCTTTATTTTGCTATATGCTATTATTAATATAGCTCACAAAAAGTTATTTTGTTTAACTTTTATAGCCATGATGATTCTCAAATACGAATGGTAATGTCTTGATATCTTTGGAACTGCAAGTTTTGACAGCTTTTAGCATGTTTCAATGCTCAGTAATTTTCTACCCTAGGATAAAGTGCTTTCCTGAACAACAACAACAAAAAACTTAAAAGCTTCTCAATGATATCATTTCCAGTTAGTTGTACGTCACAATATGATACATCTGAAACCGTTGACCACAATTTTTTTCAGCTCCCCAAAAATGACTCACGAGGAATTCCACAAATAAAGATGCTCCTTAAGACCTCTATTTTAAGCACTGACCTTTTGATGACTGGGGAAGGCAGTGAATTGCTTTCTTAGGCAAACTATGCTGGCTCATAGATGCATAGAAAAGCTTCACAAGCCGTGATAAAGGCTTGATTCTTGCCACCTTTATATAGAACTCTTTGTGATAGAGAGTGTGTTAAACCCGAACCCAGTAGGCAGGTTAAAATAAGTGTAACATGCAAGTAGTAACAATAGAAAGACCTGATTTTTTTCTGCACAGAAGTTACCAGGCAAAGACTGATTGTCTTATTCAATGGACAAATGAATGTAGATTGCACAGACACATGTACATATTTATGTGTCCACTAATTTGTCCAACCATTTTCTACCTTTGAGCAATGAATTTTTGCAGACAAAAATTGCATGTTGCAGAGGTTACAAATAGTTCATTTGGCTACCTTCTGGGGTTTCTTTTCCCGGCACAAATGTCCAGGACTTGATTATGTATACCTTTAAGCTTAGAGAGTTTATTTTGGGCTTGTCATGTCACTACATGTACAGAAATGTCAGACAGTTGTCAGGCACCGGTGTTCACAGAGGTTAGAGGAATGAGGGCAGTTGTCAGGCTTGATCATGGTCCATGTTTTAACTTGTGTACTTGACAACCGTTTTATTGAGTTTTAGTCATGCAAAAAACGTAAAAGCTTCACTATCCTCAATGATTTCTTAGTCACTCTAGATAGGGACCTCACTTAGTAATCATTAAATTTTAGTCCAAATAAAAGCTTTGAGAACACTTCGTGTGAAACAGAGATGGGAGGGAGACATATTCTGCTAAGAAGTTGTCTTAAATCATAATATTTTATTGATATAATAATGTGTACTGAGATAGTACGAAGGTAGCAGGTGCATGTGAGCATATCTGTGTCCAGCCCAGCAATGTAGAGGGTTGTCAGCCTGACTGGTTCTACACGGTTCTGGTGTCTGGCCTACAAAAGGTAAGTGGTCATGGGAAGGCAAGGGCAACCAATCGTGTAACCCGATTCAATCAAAGCAGTCATCAGATCGCAGGCTGAACAGTGCGCGCTCCACGCACCAGTGCAGCCCCCTTAACTTACATGTCCAAGTACTCCACCCTCAGGAAGCCTGACAGGACTTCTGAAGTGGCAGATGGCTTTGTCCTTTTCAAAGTGATACACAACCAAGTTTACTTAAAGCACATGTACAAAATGTACCTCACTTCAGACGTGTTCGCCATGGCCAAAAGCTGTAAGGAGTGGCCAGGCCTTGGTTACCTGACAGTGGTTGCTGATCCTTTCACTTTGAAATTCTTGCAGTAATGTTATGTGCATACACGTACAGTTGACACAAACCTTGTCTTTACAAGATACAGTAATTATATTTATAATATATCATCTATATTTTGAAAGAGAACAGCACTTTATTCCAAATCAAAGTACTTTTTCTACAAAATTACTGACTGATGAAAATGTGGATGATCGTAGGTTCTTTGGTTGACAACAATGTTACCACAATTTGATTTTGAGTTAAGAGGAGTGGGAATTGGAAAACAAAAGTTCATCTGCACTTTCACTAATCTTCTGAGTCATCCTCTAAAATGGAAGAGCATCTGTCTTCTGACTCCTCCCAGAATGATGTGCCATGCTTCTTACGACTTCCCTTTGTTGTAGCCAACTGCCTTGCCTTTGGTGTGTCGTACTTAGAAGACCGATTTGACATTACACCATGCAGAAATACTGTTCCAGTCACTTCAGGAAAAACGTCTTACACTATTTTAAACTTTTTATCACCAGACATGTTTTCCCCGTCTCTCCTGTCCAATCATTCTTGATGTACCTGACCAGGTCACAGGACGTTCTGGAGCTCTGTGTTGACTGTGAAGTCAACTTGAAGTAATCTTTGTTTTCTTTAAGTTCCCATTTCCCCTCATTAGTTGTGGCCCAGGTCCATGATGTAGAGACACAATGTCAGCCCCCAATACGTACACGTCACTTATTGTCTGACGTAATCGGCTCCTAGCCCAGGATGGATGGAAGCCAGGTCTGTGAACCACTCAGGCTGCCTGAGAGAAACTGCAGACCTTGTCTGTAACCATGGCAATGTAATGTTCCTCCTCTAACATCACAGATAACTCCATATCTGCAACTTACTCTTGACTGCTTCAGGGAAACACCGTATTCAGGAGTACTCCATGAAACATGTCCAAAATTCAATTTGGGAATCCGATTTGATTGTTGGAGATATTCTCTTTTTACCGTTACCACTTTTTTGGATGATTCGGTTAGGAAGAGATAATATTCTGCTTGGAGATTGACTTTGCAAAACCACAACACTGTAAACAATTTTGATTTGGCCTGTACATGTACAATTAGAAGTTTTCCCTGACAGTGTCAAGACAAGGTTTTAAAACCATTTCTAGATCCAATGTACTCGACAGAACATTGTTAGCTGTAATATGTAGTTTTCTAATGATTGTAAAATCAATGACGGACACGCATACGTATACCATTGTATGCACACAGAGTTATTGAAAATCATATTTTCATGTTCGATAACTGAATGAATGTGCCTTTTTAAAACAATTGAATGTTTAAGAGAACAGTTTTCATTGGATGTTTCCTCAGCTATTTGCGACCATTTCCTACAGGATACCTGTGGTATTTCAGCAGGACTGCCAGGTCCTGTTCTGCCTGGACATGCCTTCCCGACATAATCCAGAAACCTAATCTGACTCAACTGTAACACATCTGAGTCGCTCCTGTTTCTCTGTTTACAGAGAACTGCGAAGGCTCAACCCTGCGGCGGCATTATCTCTCCAAAGGGCACACCGTTTCACCAATATCTAGCACACCCTGCATTTTTTGTTGACAGGCACATTTTTCTGGACCTGTTGCAAAGTGAAATGTTTATCTTTATTCTTGGCTTAAGTTTTTTGTAAAGAAGAATGGTATGAGGATTGTGTTGGTTTGACTTTGAGAAGTCAGTGTTGGCCAGGTCGAGGACACTTTGAATGACTCCTTTTCCATGTCAGGTGACTAAGTTGTAGGTGCGCCTCCATGTTACTGCATGGTCACATTAGTCATAGGCCATCCTGATTTTCATTTTGTAGAAGGGTGTAACAGTACCAAATTTTGAAAGACTATCAAGAATCTAGACAGCCTTTCCTGTAAAAGTGCTGAATTTTGTACAACATATGCACACGATTATACCAAGAATGACTTCAGTTTGTGATGGTTTTGCCTCCAAAATTCTTAATACATGTCAAGTGTAATAACTCGCCAGTGTAGCACTTGTTCTGGTCTGTTGGCCTGCTGGGTTGTATATTTTATGAAATACCAGGAGCTCCACCTAGGATGACCCAGACTGGACCTCAGGGGCTCGACGTGTTGTCCCTAACATTGCTATGCAGTCAGTCGGGGGAAACGGTTGTTGCTATTATCATTCTTCACTCTGTCCCCAAAACAAGTTTGTTGCCATACAATTTCACAGATGTTTTCCCAGTTTCAACTTTGTTGATGTTTTTCAGGATTTGTGCTCCTCGGGAAAACTCCCATGTCCTAATCTGGGATATAATGTTACATTCAACAAACTATTGTGCATTATGTATATTGTACATGTTGTTTCGCATTGTCACATCTCAACATTGTTTGTTTGGTACAACTGGTAGTCTCTATAATCAAGTTCCACACATTGGTAAATGAATCTTTCTTTTAGATTTGATGGGATCAAGGAGGTTTAATTCTCTTTTAAACCTCCTTGATGTGATTAATCCAAGGTATATATAGTTACATGTATCACCAATTAGTACATAAAATCTTTGTATATTTTACAATCACATAATACAGTTTAATTTTTCATCATCATCATATTAGATTAGATTGATTTTCCATTACATGACATGAGTGTACATGACATAATCACCTTTCTCCAATACCTCAATCATCAATAAATTTGCTCATCAGATAATCAAGAATTTCACGCTTCCATGTAGATAATTTGGAGGTGGATTTGATAGCTCAGAGATGGCTAATGTAATAGAGAGAGCAGAATGGATAATGCAATAGAGAGAGACAAGCAATTGAACCATAATTTTGTTCTGCAACATCTTGAAATGAGCAAAATTCTAAAAGAATTTGGTCCATTTCCTTTTTTGCTGTTTCCCTCACAGGTGAATGATTCTGTACTACAGTGTACTAGCAAATTCCAGAACAACTTAAGTCTTGTAGTAAGAAATTGTGATTCTTACTGAGGACTTTCATGTTTTGCAGAGACGTGTGCTGTGAATAATGGGGGCTGTGACCGGCAGTGTAAAGACACGCAGAGCGGCGTACGCTGCAGCTGTCCTGATGGATTCACCTTGCAGCCAGATGGGAAGAAGTGTCTAGGTAAATATCACTTACTACTTTTTCATCCATGGACAAAATTAGTCAGCGGCCCCTGCTGCATGAGACCATGATACATCTGATTGAAGTGTCCGTACTGAGACTTCTGCTTTTGTAACCTCTGAACTTAGCAGTGATCCCTCGTGGTGTAGTTCAATTCCCTCATATAGAGTATTGGCACAGGCCTGGTTGATAGGGCTCTCTCGTGCGTCAGCCGGAATTGGGAAACTTTTGATGTTGTGTGTTTAGGTTGGGCAGAGGCATTCCTCCGGAACTGTTTTACATGTACTTCTAAGTCGGTTTGATAGTCCGACTGGATTACATTTTATACCGCAGCTTTGAACGTTGTGCTTTGAACAACTTGAAGCTGAGAAGCATACTTCCTGTGGTAAAGACTTTGGAATGAGAACTTGTCTGTTGACAAGGTCTTTTCAGTTCCCACATTCTAAAATATGGTATTGTTTCTATACCTCACGTATGGCATTGAAACATCAGGCCAACATTTGTCAATTAGAACCATGGTCTACACATACATGTATCCTGTCTATGATTGTCAATCTGCATGAAATATCAGCATATAAAAAAAGGAAATTGTTGTGCCTCTTTTTTTTGACTCTGAGGGAAAAGGAAAGGACAAGAAAGTACAATGCTGGAAGCACTGATTGATGATGGTTGCAATCAAAGATCAACTACACGTGTTTACAACCCATGCAGCAGCAATGCTGATCCCTTTTAACCTCAGTTTCCAGATGATGACTTCTGGTAGCCAAAGTTTACCAGTAATTCGAACACTTTGTTTCGGGGATCACTCGGTGCACAATGCTTTACTTTACTTGCTGTGTAATTATTTTGTGCCAAGGGGAACATTATACCAATATAAGCACGCTCTCAACAAATGGTTCAATTCATAAAATGTGAGTGGAGTCAACAGTCTTAGATAATGTTACTGTTGTCCGAAAAGTCTGGCCAAAACATGTGCATGATCACTTTGCTTGTGTGGAGAAACCACAAACACGGCTCTCCAGTCCCAAGTGCTTCCTAAACAGTCACTTTCTTCGGGACGTAAGATATATGGCTTTACCACGCAGTCCGTGTGTTTGTGTTGGACATGGTTTCTTCATTTAAAGCCAGAAGGCGACACCCATCCCCACACAAAATGTGCCATGTATGGCAACCTCTTGTACAGATGTTGTGAAAGGGTCCCAGTGTTTGCTGAGCACACCATTTCTGCCCTTGTTTATTTGATGTCACTTGGTATTTTCCACTGCGGACATCCGGTGGCTGCCACAAGTCGCAGCCACATCAAACCCGACCATACGATCCGTCCATCTCGTTTGAAGTTGCAGCTTGAACTGTGCACAGATCCCAATGGCAAATTTTTAAAGTTTAACACATCTGTTGAAGACGCCAGTTTGAGACTATACCCCACTGGCACCTGTAGAAATTGCATGTGTCAGAAATTCTATTAATTGTATGGTCAAAAATATCCAAGAATATAATGAAGCTGCACATACATGTATATGGATTCTTCCCTTTCATGGAAAACAAAGACAAAAATAAATTTGCATGAAATTCAAGCAAATTTTGTCCAGCTCTGTCTGAGCAATTCTGAAATTGAAGCAAATTTTGCTGAAATTACATAATTCAGAAAAACATCAGCTCACTACGATTGCTGTCTGCACAATTGACAGTATTTTGAACAATGCCACCTTGCAGACTCGAGCAGTACTGCACCTTAATGCATGTACACTTCTATTTTGATATGTTCTGTGACTGTCCTTCGTGTCATTGCTGAGACCTGAACAACTTCATCTTGACATTTTTACCTAATGTACATATTATAACACCTTACAAAATTATGCAGCTATCAGCTAATTTGCATCATTAATGAGTATCAATGTGTAACTTGGTCGCGTTGTCCATTGATTACTTCAGATGTTGATGAGTGCCGTATCAGCAACGGTGGCTGTGATCACGACTGTAGAAACACAGTGGGCAGCTTCACCTGCTCCTGCCACAAGGGGTTCAAGCTGCTCACCGATGAGAGAACCTGCATAGGTATGTGTCTGGTAAAGTGTGTGGAAGTTGTGAGGAGTTAATACTTTTAAGAGCTAGAAAGAGTACTATATGACCTTGTACCTTGTATTAACTTCAGCCTCTTCCAAATAAATACAGTATCCAGGCCAGTCATCAACAGCCTGAAAGAAAAAGTGATTAAAGGCCTGAATCAAATGCAGTCAGGAGTTTCACCTTTGTTCTTATGCAATAATGACAAGAATCATCAGGTGGCATTTTGCTCACACGTCTTGAAGATATGTAGCAGGTAGTGAAACAGAAAAGTGGACTGAAACCATGACTTGTCTTCCTCCCCACAGATATAGACGAGTGTTCCATCAACGGCACGTGTGACCACACCTGTAAGAACACCCAGGGTAGTTTTGGGTGCTTCTGTAACCGAGGTTACCAGGCCTATGGCATCACGCACTGTGGAGGTCAGTGTATATTGTTTGTATACACTGTTGCAGGTGTAACAAAATTAAATCAAGTACATTACAAGACTGACTTGTTCGGCTGGCAGTCCTGGCAAGCACATTGTACTAGTATTCAACCATAGGCACGGTACATTCTTAGATCATGGTACTTGGAGAGCTTGCCAGAGTACTTGATGCTTTATTCATGTGTGCACAACTAGTGGGTACTTTTAGTGTATACTGTGAAGTAGAATGCATTTTTTATACGGAAAATTAGAATCTATCATAAAATAACAAGCTCCCCCTGACCTTAGTGCCTTAGTGCTTTTTTTAAACAGTTTTCCCATTATTTACAGATATTGATGAATGTTCGATAAACAACGGTGGCTGTCTCCATAACTGTAAGAACCACTTGGGGCACTACGAGTGTACCTGTCGAGCTGGATATAAGCTCCACCCCAACAAAAAAGACTGCATAGGTAAGTAATGATTGTTTGCTTATTTCATTGCACCCTCATGTATCATTGACTCATTGTAAATCCTTAACCCATTGTCTTGTTTTGTGGTAATAGACCATTGGCTAACACTAAATATTATGATTCACATAGCAAAATGAATGTTGGCATACATGTATGGTCCGCATCCATTTGGGTTGTTTCAGTTATTGGAAAAGTCTCTTAAAAGAGGACAGAACTGACATCTTAAGCCTCCGTTTTTGACAGAAGCTGAGATGTGTATACCCCTGAAGGCACCTGCCAAGGCGGTCCTCACCTGTAACAAGGTGGGAGACAAGGAGACGTGTGGTCTGACCTGTAAGACCAGCGCACACTTCTCCTCCGAGTCAGAGGACACCTACACTTACAGCTGTGGCAGTGACACTGAGTACGAGTGGACACACGAGAAGGTCAACGCTACCATGCCCAGCTGCTCAGGTGGGAGTAAAAACTGGACTGTTCAAACGTCGTATGCAGTTACATGATGCATCACAGTCTTACTGATCTTTTGTTTCATGAATATGTTTGGAGTGCAATGTTTTTGCACTTTTTGCTTTTGCAATGTAAATTCGAACATCTACAATTCCTATAATTTGTGTACTAAATAGTCATTGTAGCTGTATTGTGGTAGATGAAATCATGGTAAAGAAGACTTTTCCAGTCAGGGAGGATGTTGAAGATTTATGACCAAGTTTTCTTTAAGATTTGTACTTTTGGTTGCAGAGCATGTTAATGCCCCGAGCCTGAAGAGAAAAGCACAGTTTAAGTTCTCGGCAGACAAATGCCGACTGAGAAGAAGACACAGAGAACGGTTCCAGGACAACTTTAGCAGGGCGTTATCAAGTAAGTCTCCTCAATCCTTCTAATATAAGGCATTATCAGCACTTAAATTTATTATGTTCTCCTCATGAGAATGATGAACGATATGAAAGTTAAGAGGCATGCATCTTTTCATTTTGAAATCCACCATCAGGTTTTGATCAGAATACTAGGTCTTCCCAGTTCTTGGGATATAACTGGATTACCAGATGTACATGTATGTTACCCATGATTCTGATTGCCACGTTGGAGCTATCACAATGACGTCTCTGTACTGAGCCACAGCTCTGTACTGCTCATGTTGTGAAAACAAGGAATACATTCAAGCATCAGAGTCTTGGTGTCACCTCCAACTGACCAATGTTTTCAGCATACTCTGTCACAATAGCTAAAGCATGTCACAAAGAATGTACTGTTTGTACCAGGCAGGTTCTTGCACTTTTCCCATGTTTATGCTACGTCTCTTTGTTTGAGGATTCTTTGGTAGGAGTTAAATCACTGTCACCGGCTCCATTGTAAGGCCTACTGGAGTTACAGACCAGTTGTGTAGAATACAGGTAGGAAATGGGCAATACCGGTATCTTGACAGGAAGTTTAGGAAAGCGATCATATGCTCAAGTTAGAACTTGGCAGAGAAGCAACATTTGTAGCAGACCCAAACTGATGAACAATGAATCATGAGTGTGACAGCCTTTTAGTTATATACATGTACTGGGATTACTTACACTGCCCAGATGGATTCCTTGCAATGTGTCATTGACCCCTGCATGAGACAATGATTAATTCTATGTGACAGGTTTTTCACTGGAGGGTACCTGATACATGTATTTCTTTCATCGGATTTTTTGCCATGTCTTCATAAGAATGTTTAAGATTTCACAAGTAACAATATTTTGAGTGAAGCTACATGTACGAAGTGAACATATAAGGTTGAAATACTTAACAGTAACAAGATTGATATATAATTGTTTTACAAACACAACAAGGGCAATTGTGAAGATTACATGCCACAATATTTTGATCATATTTTGTTATATTGTGACCAAAAATGAGAAATTCCTAAATTGACCAGAGTGCATACAGAGCATTTCTTGCACTTTATATAATTATGTATCTTTCTAGTGTCAAAGTTCTTTTTGAACCCATATATATTGATATTAGAATTAGAAGAATGAGTCTAAATCAAAATGAGCTATACAGAGGTATGCTGCAGTGTAATGTACTGGGTATTACACTTAGTGAATGGAACAAAGCTGTTCTTTTAGGTACTTGTATATAACATTGTAATCTTTTCATTCTGACTATTATACTAGTAGATGTCAGACATTTTGAATGGGCAACATGATATACATTTCTTGTAATGTTAGATGGACAGTACCAAGGCATCTCTGGAAATGTTATATTGATCATTCATAGATTGAACCCTATTGAGAACCATTCTGACGTGACCAGGACTCCTACTGTGGGTGGAAGGCATGTTGTACAGTAGCTTGGCCTCTGTGTCTGTAATATTCTTGGGTGATACTTGTACATTCAGTGTTTCCTCTCACACTGCTACAGACCCAAATATGCTTTATATTAGATGGATTGAATTTAAATCCAATCAGCTGTACATATCAGTTATGATATTTTGCAGCTGTATTTTTATAATGGAAATTGAAGTATCATATATGCATGTTTCTTTTCCAATTGCTGGTTAGTGATGCTATCAAAATCCGATCTAGTGCAGCAGTGCTAGGTTATGATCTGTTTTGTTTTCAAGCTGAATTTCTAGCTGCTGCGGACTTATTTTCAATTCATATTCAAAGCGGTTATGCAATCATCACCTTTATCAAAAGCCTTGCCGTCAAATGTCATTTAATGATTCATAACTGAACAGGGCATCAGAGGAAACACTGGAAATACTGCCTTAACTTAATGATCTCTGATAAATTAAATCTCGTTTCCTTTCTCTCCTCTTTTCCTCTGCAGCTCATGAGTTGTCCTCTCTAACTGGTTTGTCCTACTCAGAGATAGGTACCAACTTTCCCATTTATTTCTCTTGAATGTGGCTCAACATACCAAGTATCAGGTAGTGCTAGTGTTATTATATGTGTACCACATCTGACAAAATGAACTGGAAATTCTTAGTGGATATAGCATTTTCATTTCGAAACTCAATATGTGATGATTTTTATATAAGAGCTAACATGTCTACCACGTACAATTGTACATCATGCTCCAATATTATCCTTTGGTAAAAGAATATTTGCTATTCTCATTTGGGAATGATAGGAAAATTGGCTAAAATGTTGTCCATGGTTACAGACAATATCATTGGTACATTGAGCCTCATACCATACAAACTTGTGGTTTATGCAGAATTTGTGTCAGTCAACGTGACATTTGTGTTGCAGTTTCTGTGTTTGTGTCCAGGAAATTCATGTGTCATGTTTCACAGCTAAACACATCAGTTAGAAGTTAGACATCTAAACCATGAAAGCTTTTTTAACCATAACATGATTAATGATGTACATGTAAGTACTAAGTAATATTATAATGATGCCAGTCTTAGACAAGATGTGGCCTTTGACCTGTCCATATTTGGTATGGTTGTTATAACAGTGCCGTCAATGCAACTAATGCATTGTTGTTGGAATATCAGTAACTTTAGGCCAAAGCTACTAATATTCCAACTAGGGATTATCTGGACTTTACTCACTGAAGATTTTCTATAGTTACAAAAATATGATATTTTGACCAAAAATTACTATTTCTATTGAAACAGCACAGTGAAAGACTTTTATATCATTGTGATTCTTTCAACTTGATTTTGACATTTTCAAACCAAACAGTAGAGGTGATACAACAGCCATACAAACTATGTACATGGTAGTGCCTGTGTGTAGCTAACTGCATGTCCTTCCAGCACAGATCCCCACAACTGCACTGTCTTTTGCCCACAATGCACTGTGCTTTTGAGCCAGGGTAGAAGGGAGAGGGGGGGTGAATACGACAAGTAGACTCATGCATGTTACTGCTTTTTGCACCTGCATTTTATTGAGCACATGCTAGTGTGGTAATGGACTTGTCTGTAAAATCGTAATAACATGAAATTCAGCACCATAGACATATCCTTTGTCAAACTTCATATCCAAGATTTCAAAAGATTCAGCAATGTGGTTTGTCATAGTCTTACTGTACAATGTTAAGTATTTACTTTTCTCCGTCTTCTTGAAAAACTTGACCTGGATGAAATGCACCAGGAATAGGCTTGGTACATAGTTACAGCTAGTACAAACAGATGCATAGACATGTACATGTATCTGTAGACAAGGCGTGCTTGTGACAGGATTGTCTCTTTGGTGGCTTTGTATTGCTACAGGCAGGGTTAAAAAGCACAGTGCTAGTGTGCCATTGCTTCCAGATCACATTATGTATGCACGAAATGCTCTGTAAACTGCTCTCTTTTGCTTTTGCACATGCCTTTATGCTCCATATTGCCCACGTTATTATGCAAGCTTTGCACCCACGTGATTGCATGTAAAGTAGTTCCTAAAGCCATGCAAGTTTCCTTGCTTCGTTCTGCATGCAACAATTGCATTTGCCCAGCTCTAGCATTTTCTACAATATAAAGATTTTTCATTTTTTGTACTATTGTTTCAATATGCTGTAAAAGGTTTGGAAAGAGAAGACCATAATTACATGTATGATATGTAGATGTTGCCAAATCTTGGATGTCTCACCTCGAAAAATATAGGGGACAACTAGCCAATGTTTCTACACAGCTGATAAAAATTGCTATCAATTACTGTTTTGCCCAGCTTTGAAGTTAGGATACTGGTCAGTCAAATCACTTTTGACCAGTATCATTTTCTAGCTGCCCTTTTCCCTTTATGTGTGCATTCATGAGTAACAATATATGTTGATCATTTCATGCAAATGTCCTATCTGAAAAATCTCACTGATGCATGTAACACCATCGTCCTCCATTTCCCATCACTTGTGACTTTGTTTTTTTGTCATGTCAGCATTTATCTTTAAGAAATTGAAATACATTGTTGATGTTGTTTGTTTTGTGATGTATCTGAGTGTGAAGCTGATCCCATTCACAGTGACATGTAACATTATGGCATTTCAGTTTACAGTCGTTTTTGAACAGGCAGCCTATAAAACATCATGATTTTGATTTTTTTTAATATCCTGAGGGATAAGCTCTTGTATTAAAAACAAAAAGATGTCTGTGCCCCCTCAAAATCAATTAGAACATTATGAAAGTCACATTACATAATTGCTATACCTAAGCAATATGTCTATTGCATCAATGTTCATCTTAGTGTCACCTGAAGGATGACCTGAACTGAACTGAACTGAACTAATCTTAGTCATTAATGACTTAAATGCTGAAACTACATCTCTGTTGCATGTGAATGGTGCTCAGCTTCAAGCCCACTCTTTTCAATTATGTCACCATGCTAGTTGTATTTTGTGTACTGCTAGCTTGGAGAATGATTATGGTTGATATTGCATTGCACTTCAAGTTACAGTATGTTGTCTTTATTACTATATTGTACATGCTACATGTATATCATGTTTCTTTACTTTGCCTTTTCTACTGATGCAGCCTGATGCAACATTTGATGAGAATTAGGACCAAAAACAAACAAAAAGTGACTGCCGAATTGACATGTCAGCTTAAACAAAGAACGTATCTATTAGGTCCTTCAATCCATTAATTTTTACTGGAAATGAATGCCCTTTTTACGCATTGTGCAAACCATAATGACGTAACCGACAGAAGAGTGCACATATTATTTTCCAAAAAAAGATGATTACTAAATGTTGATGTAAGAAAATAATTCAAGACTGTATTTATCATCATTTTAATGAACACTCACTTATGTTTCAAAATCTTATATTCAGAAGGTCACTTGTAAGTTGAATTTTTCAAAGGAGAGTACCAAAAGTTGAGTTCATTTGACGTTTGGTCCTTTTTCCCATGAAATGTCTCTCCGGTACAGATGTACCTCTGATTTCAGTCCTTCTCTCTAACAGTGTCCCTCTCTCACATGGCAGAGCAAAGAAGGTACCCTTGTACAGAGCTATGTCAGGTAAACTATGTCAACCTTCGTTGTGGCAACCGCCCTACACGCACCCGCCGCGCTAAAAAACGCCGTGGGAGGAGACGGAAGGGCAGGCGCCTGGAGGCCGAGGGTCAGTCTGGGTCGGTCATTGTGGCCGAGTTTGAACTGCAGATGAACCCAGAGGAACCTACGGGTAATGACAAAAACTTTTTGCTTACAATTGGAGTTCATTATTAGTTTAAACATAATCCTCCTGAACTATTCCAAGACTTAGTGTATATCGTGGATGTTATTACAAATGGTTGCCCCTGAATCTGTCTGTACCTGTCTGCCTCCTTGGTGTTTTCACAAACAGGAACTTTATGTTTCTGTCATCTGTGGAAGTGAAGACACAAATACATTGTGGAAAATGCCTTCATCTTGTGAAAAGACATAAGAATCAACATGGCAATGTATCCAGCCAAATGTACTGCTTATCCTTGTGATAAACTATCTCTAGTACCTATCTCCAATGATCACTTCCTTTGGAGCTTAGTGACTATTGTAAGACATTACCACCTCATATATCCACAGATAAGTGTGATGTGAACTGTGTCCGTAGAAGAACAGAAAAGAAGCTGAGAAGAACAGTCAACACCTTGAGGAAATCCATCAATAGGGAACAGTTCTTTGTCAGGTGAGACAATTTGTGAAAATGACAATGTAGCTGGCAATATTTTTCCTGAGCTTAATGGAATGTATACTGTGTTTTATAGCACATGCAATCCAGTAGTTAGTGCCTCTGGACAAAGAAGTTGTGAATTCAAATCTTGGCTGTGTCACTTACCCAACATGTATGCTGTTGGAAAGGGTTGCAGTCCTTAGGATGGGACGTTACCTGTTGTCCACTGTTCGGTGTTCTTGCTGAAAGGAGCTAGCTTATTTGAATTTTCCCCATACCATCAACCTGTAAATATACTGCACATAGCATCTGTCTTCTCTGTCATGACCAGTGGTAGAGACTTTGAGCTAGCCTATGGGAATTTTCCACATACAATTAACATGTTAGTACATATACATAGCATCTACCTTCTGTGCAAGATACTAGTTCTGTCAACTGTTCATTGAGTTCTTTTGAGCTAAACTGATTTCAGATCACTTTGACTTTCACTCAAAATGGTTTGTAAACTTGAAGTCTTACTTAGTGTCCTGACTGTATTGTATTCCCCTGCAGGTTTGCAGGGACAGACTATGAGGTGATGAGAAGGTCGTTGAAGGCTGACCGAGGAGTGGAGTCCATCTGCACCCTGGGACAGATCATGGTGGGAGACAAGTGCAGTAAGTATAACCACATGGTGACTGATTTTGCAACATGCTCAAGTTAAGGCCACGCTAATTTGTTGGTTCTCAGATTTTTGCAGAAAATCAATGAATTGGTTGGCAAAAAAATACACTAAGTGACTAAGATATAAACAGGCCTAGCCCATCCTGTGATATCCGCAAATGCTACGGTAGGAGCCAGAAAGTCAATATACAAGGCTGATATGTCTATAATTTTGAACTTTTTATCTTTGGCAAGTCAGAACTAAATGAAAAATTAGATTGATGAGTCCTAAGGAGGCAAGTTGAAAACCTTATGTGTAAAAGCAGTGGATATTCTTTCATTTTCCTAACAAACACTTGTCGACCAAAGAACTGTTGTCCTATACTTGTGATGACTTACTTGACAATCAACTCCATCAAAGTCCATTTTATAACTGGTCATGTAACTGTCTTGCATTAGTCAGCTGCAGTGTCGGCTCCTACTTCAACATGGAGAGTGGCCGCTGTGAAAAGTGCCCGTCTGGCACGTACCAGGATGAGGAGGGGCAGCTGACCTGCCAGCCCTGCCCCAGTGAAGGAAGTCGGTCTGCAACTGGCATTGTGGGAGCAAGAAATGTCACCGAATGTGGAGGTATCACACTTCATTTTACTACATGTTCATAGTGTCTATTGTTAAAACTATTTAGAGAATGTGCAAATCTGATGTACACATGCACATCCTTAGACTCAGTTAAGACAAAGACAGTTTTGGAGGATGTGCAGATCTGGTGTACAGATGTACATACTTAGTCAGTTAAGACAGTTTTGTATTGTTGTTTTGTTTTGTAGCCTTATGACATTTTATCTATTATTCTACTTACATAATGTACAAATGTATGTGTAATGCAAAGCCCTGTCAACCTCAATCATTTAATTTGAAGCTACATGTATCTCCTATGGGAATTGGACGCATCTGATTTTGACTGAAACAGTTCTATACCACACCATCCTAGGCCAGTGTTCCCCAGGCCACTTCAGCTGGGATGGTTTTGTGCCGTGTATTCCCTGTGAGCTGGGCACGTTCCAGCCTGACCCCGGTCGTACCTCCTGCTTCTCGTGCGGGGGAGGGGTCGTAACCATCAGCGACGGGGCAACCAGTTTTGAGCACTGCGTCGTTCGTGGTGAGTGTGCAGAATATTTTTCAATTCCCCAGTTGATTTTTGGACATCTTTGACTTGTTTGGATGTTAGTACATGTTCAAGTTCAGTTTTATTTACTATGAACTTCGAGGTATTTTCTTCCTGCTTTATAGTCTTTTTGAGAGAGACAAAGAACTTTTGATGGAAGAAATGTGTTATAATTCTAAAATCGAAAGCTTTTTTTTTTCTTGTCAAAAAAACAATACTTTATCCTGTAATGTGTTTTTTAAGCAGCTGAATACTATGCTAACATGAGTGAAACATGTACATGATAGACAGCAATGATCCCGGCCCTTTTCTCCCAGAATCCTGTTCAGCAGGTCAGTACTACAATGTCCAGGCTGGGTCATGTCAGCGCTGTCCACACGGCTTCTACCAGCCCAGAGTGGGGCAGAACTTCTGTGTGCGCTGTCCAGGCAACACCACCACGGACTTCGATGGTTCCACTAATGAAAATGAGTGCAAAGGTGAGTCACACGTGAATGTAACTTTGATATAAAAATTTAATGATTGTTACTTGCATTGGGGAGGGGGCAAAATGCCAAATCACCAAAAAAATTGAAAAATGTCTGTTGTTATACATATATGTCAAATAGACATAGCATGTGAGGTATATTTGAGGACAGTACAGGAATACACTAGCTGTGCCTACATGTACAATAATGAAATTACAATACATGTTGTACCGTACTAGTGTTTGCATTGAACACAGTACTTTATATTCGTTCACAGACAGAACCTGTGGAGGAGAGATTGGAGACTTCATGGGGTACATCCAGTCACCAAACTACCCCGGGAACTACCCGTCCAACGTGGAGTGTACCTGGCACATCGTCCCGCCCAAGGGCAGGCGGATCCTGGTGGTGGTGCCGGAGATCTACCTGCCCGCAAAGGACGACTGCGGGGACGTGCTCGTCATGAGGAAGGGAGGTGAGGGAAGGGCCAGGTCTACATGGGAATGGGGCACAGCATCTCAATAGGGCAAGATGTTTATGATTAAGGACTGGACACATTCGTCTTACAATCAGAATACAATTGCTAACAGAAGGCACTCTTGGGACAGTTGTTTTACAGAGGCTATCATACAATGCAGTGCATCCTTGTCAGCAGTTAGACAAGTTACAACAATGCTATAGACATGGGGAACTGTCCCCCTCTTCTAACTCAGAAAGCATAGAACAATGTACCGCATAGCACATTGCTAGAGCATTGGTCCTTGCTAGACATGAAAAAGACAGATGTGATATTATCACTATGCTTCACTGCTTGGCCACAATTGAGTCTTTGCTTCTATTTCAGCCTCACCTTATTCTGTCACCACCTACGAGACCTGTCAGACATACGACAGGCCGATCGCCTTCACTTCACGGTCGCGGAAGCTGTGGATTCAGTTCAAGTCCAACGAGCTCAACAGCCAGAAGGGCTTCCAAGTGCCATACGTCACCTACGATGGTAAGACAAATCTTCTAGCTATTACTGTTCAAGAAACGTAAGAACATGTAACAGACAAGTAGATGATTTGAGGAATATTCTGAAATCAGATCCAATATTCGGATGAAATGGGCCTGCTAGAATGCTATTTTAGAGCAATAATCAAGATACACAATGTTGTCACATATATACATGTATATGATTGTGTATAGTACAGTCAAACCTTGTCTCCACAACCAGTCAAGTGAAAAAAAATAATTGGTGACTGGGGGTAGCTGTTCCAAACAAGAGGATCTTAACTTTGAAAAGATTGGCCAGCGCCATGTTTGACTGCTGCATTTCCATTCTTCACTCTTGTTACTTCCTTAAGAAAATTATCAAGACCTGATTGAGGACATTGTGCGAGATGGCAGGCTGTATGCATCCGACCATCACCAGGAGATACTTAAAGTGGGTGCTTTTACTTCTTACATGCTTGCTTATAATAATATTCTTTTATCCTACTCACATGTTGCCTCCTTTCCTTTCACATGCTACTAATAAGTACAATTCACAAAATTTATTTTCCAAAAGAGATTGGCCAAAACTAACTACATGGTTGTATAGAACAACCAGTAGGTAACAACAAGTGATGAATCATAAGTAATTAGTGTATTACATGTAGTTCCTGTCTTCTAACAATTACGTCTCAACTAATCTATTCATGTACTTTTATCACTTATTTTAGACTTGACAATGAGATATTGAAATTATGCAAAAACAATTACATGTATGCTAAGGCATGCTTTGTTTTTAGATATCACAGCCTATTATCACTAAATTCTATAGTGTAGACTCAAGACAAAGGTCCCTAGTTTATTTAATCGTGAGACTGTCTTTGTGATGGCCATGTTAGAGGTATACTACATAAAATCTGGCCCACGCTGTGACAAGTGTTGTAGCAATCTCCATAGCTCTCATTTCATTTGTTATGAAATTAAGCCTTGCCTTCAGCAGAAAGCAAAAAGTTGTCCCTAAAATTTGTGGTATCTAATAGCAAAAGCTGTTCTGAAGTTCTGAGTAGACTTGGCACTGTAAATAATCAGAAAGACCCTTACTACCCTTCATATGCCCAATGTTCTACAGTTGTAGTAGACAGTCCCTTGTGACAGAGCGTTAGTTCAATATCAGATTGTTTGCACCTGGATTGTTATGCAGTATACCTCTAACAGACGTTTGCCGTGGACTAACTGTAGTGTGTGTCTGCCGATGCAGGATAAGAAACTGGTGCAGGCCTTGTTTGAAGTGATAGCGCAGCCCCGGAATTACTTCAAGTACAGCTCCGCAGAGTCCACGGCCATGTTCCCACGCTCTTTTATAAAGTTGCTGCGATCTAAAGTCACCAGATTCTTCAGACCATTTTAAAACGTGGGTTACACATTTAGTCTTCCTTTTGTTTTTGTTTTCATTGCAGCCTCATTTCATTATCTTCCATTTCACAGCGCTGTCACTTAAACTAAATTGTATGCCATTATTGTTTGCTTTAAACAGCTGTCTTGCCAAAAGTAGCATCCCCTCATTTCATTACATACACCCAGTAAGTCACCCATTTCCATTGTCATTAAAATTACATTGTCCATTTCACAACCATTCCATCATTTTCTGTAAAGGAACCAGCCGTGAGTCATCTGTATTCCATTGTAGAACATTTCTTTGTCATCTGTCTCCAAAGTTTCAGAATTTCACCCAAAAAAAAATTTTTGAAAAAAGATAATGTCAGATATAAGTAAAAAAAAGTAAAGACTGTTTTAGGTTTGACACGTTGGCTGGTCCCTCCATTTGTCCTCACCAACCACCAAGTTCTCACCAGTTTCCTGATCATGCATGCGCCACGTTTTCCCTTTGTTTAACTTAGACTTCTTCTATTTGGTTAAGTTCACTCGTCATGGCAAAAGCTCACCTAGGAATCTGTAACAACCTGGATGCCAGCCTTTTTAGTTTTAGTATGCTCTCTCGGTCTTCTCCCTGCCAAAAAACCTAGACCCAGACATCTTCTGTCTACATATTGATGGCAGGGAAGGAATCAAGAACATACTAAAGCCAAAAAGGCTGACATCCAAGCTAGATCTGTAAAGCTGTTAGGCAATCTGCCTACATCAAAATATTGTGTTTGATAGCCTCTCTTAGAGTGTAGTCCTAATAGAAGACAGAATGATGGATTGATGTTATAAATTTGTTGTTCTGAGACTTTTTGAAGAAACGTTCAGGATCCCTTGGTCTTTGTGTGTCCTCTGTGTGTCATGATATGTCTGTTTCAGTGTTGAAAAAGCCATACAGGAAGGAAACACTTGAAAAGATAGTGCTTTCAGCACCAAGGACAGACCCCTCAAGCAACCTAACCACAGCTATATCTTCTGTTTGTTTACAAATTACCTTTCAAAAATGGAAGCAAAAATGCTGCTGAAGCCATCTTCAAAGCAAATCTTCCTTAAATTCTCATTTGTAGACATTTGTTTTGTGCATGGTGAACAAATTGTGTATATACTGTGACCATGTGGTTAGTACTAGGCATTGATGTCCATTAGCAAACAGTTCTTTTCCCTTCAAGATTCTTTTTTTCAGGTTATAATTTCTGTTGTTGATTGCTCGTGTGAAGTGTTCCCCTTTGTACACTTTTATTGGTTCGTAGGTTAGTTGGTGTGTTAAAAGATGAAAACTTAGATATCTCATAACATATTTCATAACATGAATGCCATAACGTTTGTCTTCTTCTGTTATCACAGGACAAAAAGCTGGTGAAGGCACTGTTAGATGTGATTGCAGAACCTGTGAATTATTTCAAATATACAGCTTCCCAAGCAAGGGCCATGTTCCCACAATCCCTTATCAACTTCCTGAGGTCAAAGGTTGCCAGATTCTTCAGAATGTAGAAGTTTGTTGTAGTTCTTGTTGAAAGAAAATCAGATGTTGTTGCTACATTTTTGTGAAAAGTGTAGATTTATGTCATTTTGGGGGGTATCAAAGTACATGGAGTCTGACAGTAGATTGACTGTCTATCACAATTAACAGTTCAACCAATGGTAGCATGGCAGTTATAAATGACTGCATGTCCATTGCTACCTTTTGACAGAGGTGGGCGGGGCTATGGGAGTGATCTATTTATTAGTAACAAACTGGAATTATACATGATTTTAACACTTTTAACGAGTGGCAACAATAGTACATGTGTACATGATCAGTTTTTGGTGAACCGTTTACACAGAATGTTGTGCGATGGCTTGAAATAGGATACTTCTTATTTGATGCAGCACATGAATTTTGTGAGAGTATGGAAGGAGTTTTGTGTTCTTTTTGTGAGATTCTGCAGTGATATTGGGAGTGGAAACATGGCCAACATAGTGATAGTACACGTGTGAATAAGCAGATTCTTTATTTAGAGCCTTTTCTGATTAACCAAAACATTACAGGCAAATATGTAGGCTTTTAATACGTACTGACATGTACCAATTATTAGATTTGAAGCATTATAGTAAAATAGGTGGTCAGGTGTGACCCTATACCAGTGTTGCAAATGGTGCAGTAAGTGTATTATTTTTGTAGAAATAAGGAATTTGTAGAAGGTTTGTTTCAAGTTGCAAATATTTAGGCTTGTTGTTGGGAAGAGGATAACTGTTGGGTGTATGACTATATGTGGAACAATTTTAACATCAACAGTCTCACTAACATTATTTTGTATAATACAAAAAGTTATTTTTATCGTGATTTTATATCAATGCAAGGGAAGACTGTAAAAGTGTACAGAAGTGAATGTAACCACACTATTGTAGTATTTTCAAGCTGTATGTGAATGAAAAGGGGTGACCATTAGAAATTAGCTGCGCATAAGTTTGTGGTTGATGTCAGAAGTACATTTTGTACTTGTTCAAATTTCCAACAATTTGCAAGAGTATGTTCACAGAACATCCAGAATGGAATATTGAAAACAAAAAAAAAACACATTTTCTTAAGATGAGACATCAAAAGACATTTGAATAAGTTTAAAAAATGTTTTTCTAACATCTAAAAAACACTGCTCTCCCTGCAAATGTACATGTATTAACATCCATCCCACAGTAGTGATTCTACAGCACTGTGGGCACTGATGCATTTAACAATGTCACATGTTTAAAGAAGGCCATATGCATACATGAATGAAACCTGGCATTTGAAAAAGAGTAAAAGAAAGGCTAATCTTGACCAGCTTAAACTCTATTTGATGAAAACTATGGCCTTTATACGGTGAATGTGTATTGTGCCCAAGGTGAGTTGTGCATCTTAGGTGGCAATTTGGAGGAAACTAAATGTGTATGCCCCAACAAGCTTGTTATTTTAATGTTTGCATAGATTTGCACTTGATGTAGAAATCTTTTATGTGGGAAAGTGCTTGAGTTGAGGTATTTTGAGAGTGTATCTTAGTTAGTCTATTATATTTCTTCTTCCCTATGCTTGAGAGTTTATTGTCTCTTTTTGTGATGCACTCAAAAGTGCAACTCTGAGATGTAATTGATGTATTATACATGGTAGTTGTTACACACACATGTAAGGGCTCCAACTATGCTTTGAGGTGATGGTCTAAATGTTTTGTTATTTTGTCACATCCATTACATGCCCATATACATGTATACAGAGTAAAAACATTTACTAGGTTTCTTCCAAAAATAATGTAGGTTGTGGTAATAGCTTGATTAGTTTATGCCATTCTATACTGTATTGTCTATCACAGTTTAGACCAACAGTGTTCCATTATTAAAGTATGTATGTGATCAGATTTAACGTGAGAACCAAGAGAGAGATGTCATTTCACTTTCGTGTTGGACCATGCAGCTTTTTCTATGGTACACTGATATGTTTATTTAAGAATGTAGTAGTGCACTGAGGGTGTGTTAGTAACACTAACACACAACCCAGCAAAACAGGCACCATATCATTTAATAAATTGTTTTTAAATCTGTCAGCTTTCATTAAACAGGACAAAAGTAAGTTCAGCATAGAAGAAAGAGTCAACATAGGTTTAACATCAATTAGATAAAGCTAAAAAAAAGACTGTAGTTGGATATTTGAGGGGAAAAGAGTTGGGTAAATTATCCAATTTATGTAGCTATTGAGTGATAACAACCACTTGTCGATTTCCTTACTGAACAAACATTTCATTTAGAAACTCAAATTTATCAGCTTTCAAGTGCAACTTAAAGGAGTGGGGCATAGTTGGGTGTGATGTTGGATTTATGTGAGGTATATTATAAGCTTGCACTGCCTACAGAGCATATAATGCCTAATACTAGCAAGGGCACCTTGCAATGTCAGTTTTCCAAAGTTCAATAAAACCATGGGACTATACTATAATATATGTAGCTTATTGCCTCCAAGTACAGAGGTTTTGTTTGTGTGTTGCTTGTGTGTCTGTACCTACATGAATGCAGTAGAGTCACAGTAAGGGGGAAATGGTGTAACTGCAGATTGACAGAAAGGTTGCCCAGACTTACATGTATTTCCACATCAGGGATAAGAAGTTAGATCAAAGTTTGGAAAAATGCCCCAGAATAGGTTATGGTCACCTCATTCCCTGTCTTCTGTCTGACTCACACCCTCCTGTCTGGTTTTCCCAGGCAATTTCAGAGTTGACAAGGCCATGTATGAGTGAAACACATGAAATGATTGCGATTTCAGCACCAAGGACAGACCCCAGACATTCTGTCTGGTTTTCTCATGTTATGACACTAGAAATATGGAAGCAAACACTGACAACACAGATATTTTAGAAAAAAATCACAACTTTCCTGCATGTGGTTTTATTTCCAACAATCAAAAGGCTCATTTGGGACAATTATAATATTTCATAAACTTTAATACCTTTCCATTTTATAGACAAGTACATCTGCACAAACATTTCTTACAATGACCAGTTTTGAACTTAAATAGGACAGAAACTAAAGAATCTTTCATACATGCCAACATTACCTTCTTGCAAAACATTCTTCAAAAGCAAAAAGGGGTTTTCTACAACACTTGCTGTAATAACCTTGATTGCACAGACCTAGTATCATGAAAATTTGATCATAACATTAAAATCTGATAAGAAATATGATCATAACAATGCTGCTTTGTAAGGATTCTCCAAGTTTTCTTTAAAGTCCTCCAGAAATGTGGAGGCCAGAGCGTCATCAACTACTCTGGAGTCAGAACAGAGTGTGACAGTCATGACAGTTTTTGTGGTGTGTCCGTCCTCCGCGGGTTCCACCAGGACACGTGAGCCGCCAATTGCCATGATACAGGCCTGTGGCGGGTTGATGATAGCGCTGAACTGACTTATGCCAAACATCCCCAGGTTGGAAACACTGCAGAGGCAAAGTAAACTGTTAGACATCTTCTTGTACATGTTTATGGAATGGCACAGAAATTCATTCCGTGTGTCATGATGAGCTACACATGTACATGACAATAAAACAACCTTAAGTATCTTCATCAGACAACATACCAATTTGTTATGTCAAGTTATGGCAACTCCCAAAGACAGTTACTGTAGAACAGACCTGAATGTGCCTCCCTGATACTCCTCAGGCATGAGTTTGCCTATCCGCGCTCTCCCTGCCAGCTCCTAATAAACAGGACACATGTCAGAATAAAAGCATTTTCAGCTGAAACAACAGAACAGCAACATCACTCTTCTAGTCCTGTCTCCAGATCTGTGTCTTCTACAGAACTACATGATTTAATAGTTATGAGTGCAAGGGTAATTTTATCAAAAGCCTTTATTGAGTCATGCTTACCTTGACAGTTTCAGAGATGTTCTGTAGTCCCCTGGATGGTACGTCTGTAACTATGGGAGTAATCAAGCCTTTGTCTGTTGCCACGGCAACTGATATGTCCACATTAGAGAGCAGCTGCACCGCCTCCCCCGTCCACTGAGCATTCACCTCAGGTACTGACTGTGTAGGCAGCAAATGGTAATATTGTTAGTACATTAGATCCCCACCATTATATTCCTGCACATTGATAGTTGGTCCCTAGGGGGCGCTGTTCACTTACATAGTATAGAGAATGTAGTTCTGTTGTACATGTGTGTACATCTCATTCACTCCCTAGTAAGAGGGAGCCCAAAACAGCTATAACTACATGTAAAATCATCATGTCAACACAACACAAATCTATTTCAGAAGGTCTGTGATGTGAAGAGTAACAAAGATACGAGATATGAGTTGTACAGAGAGACTGCATCCAATACAACTCACCTTCAGTGCCTGCCCAACAGCCTTGATAATGAAATCATTGACAGAAACCTTTACACCAGAACCTTGGAACAGGAGGGAAAACTAGAGTTACTTGCATCAATGTAAAAGGTGGCCCTTAATGTGGCCCTAGCTGAATACAACCCAAGAGTTTTTCAAATCAATGCCAGTGAGTATGTACATATTGTACACTACATTATTAGCAAGTTATATGAAACTTGTTGAATTACTTTGCTTTTACCTTTATCTCTTTAAGTACTGCATGGAAGCTATTGCTCACAATCTCTAACACTTACCTTGTAGCTTTTTCCTAAGTCTCAGTACTGAGTCCATCTCACAGTCTATACTGCTGTAGGCATGTGGTACTGTAGTCTGAAAAAAAACAGCATTTCAGTTATATGTTCCAACTATTGGGACCACATACTCAAGACCAACTTTGCATGGGACGTTACATTTGGATACACTGAAACAAGTGAGCATAAGTCATACTTTAGTTTAAAAAGTATGAATATCAGACACTACCTTTGATTGTGTGAGTCTTTTTGCTATTGTCCTCCTCATACTTGTGTGTGGGATGTCAACAAACTCATCCTGAAAAACAAAAAGCCATTCCAATTAAGAAAAACGATTTTGCTGACTCAAGTAAGACTGACACTTGTAAAGGATGTGAAAACGGTACAGTATCTCTTGATTTGGTCTTAAGACCAGACCAACTACATTGTGAAATCAAGATACTGCTGGCTAAATACATATACACTCCACTACACTCCACTACACTACAACTAATGTCCTTGACCATCTTTAAGTCTGATACCCTATGGAGGAGCAACAAATGGTGTAAGATTTAATGCATGTTTGCTGTGAACTTTCACAACTTGCTCATTGTCACTTTACACCCACCCCCCCACCTCATGTATCTGTTTGTGCTTACCTCCTCTGCTGCAGCAGGGGGTACTACAGGGTGACTGACTGGGGGAGGGGGTGGGGGAGGAGCAGCCACAGGGGTGGGGGGAGAGGGCGTGGCAGCAGGAACTGCCTCTTGTCTCTTGGCACTAGGGTCACCAGCAAGGAACTTCAGCACATCCCTGGAGAACAATTGATACAATATGTAAAATCAAGCTACACATATGCACCCATGCTGGTATCATAAATGGTACTTTTGTTAATCCACAAATAAACATTGTACATTGTATGTTCTGCCTTATGGCAGATACTAGGTCATACAGGAGTATTATTGGTGAAAGAGACTTATAACATAAGATATATAAGATGTTCACACACCCTTTCAGTAGTCTCCCATGCGGCCCACTAGGTACAATAGCTGCAGGGTCCAGACTGTTGGAATCTACCAAATACCTCACTGCAGGGGAAAGGTCAACATGTCTGGAGGGACAAAAAACATGTACACATCAGTGACGAATTTAGCCTGGGTACCATCCGGATTTTCGCTCTGCAACGCTCAAAAAAATCGATTTATTTGAGCGTTGCAGAGTGAAAATCCGGATGGTACCAGATGACTCCGGATAACTAAAAAAAAAAGTCATCCGGTCAAAAAAGAGACAAAGAATAGCAGGGTTCTCCCCAGACGATGGAACAGGGGCGCTGCGCCAGGCTACTCCCAGCTCAGCGCCAGTATACTACTTTCCAAATTTAGGGTGTTGCATTCCGATTTTTCTACAAAATTTCGCTAAAACTCGAGAAAATTTCCTGATTTCGGGGCTTAGTGGCGTCTATTTTCCCGCCGGCATTGTCTCTGAAAACTTGTGAATGGGGCGATAATCGAGTAAACAATGAGTATTTCGCACGACGCTACTGAGAGAATCGCTGTCATTGGTGGAACATCGGGCGCCCCGCTAGCGTTTTGAAGTCGTGTAAAGAAAGCTAATTGTCTGATTTCTTTGTAAACCAAACCCTGATAATAAGTTTAAAAATAAAAGCCGATACGTTTACGAACTTATAAACCGTAGAAAATTCCCTACCGTATCGCGACATTATGAAGCATGTGGCGGCCGCGAAATTCGTTAACGCGACAGAAAATGTCTGGTTCATGATAGCGGTATTTCCCATGAAAATAACGTATACGATTTATTTTTCCCCTGCTGTCGGTTTTTAAGTCCCGAAACGTTAAAAAAAGCAGAATTTTGCCCACAAACCCGGACGGGGGAC